TTGAATTTTGTTGTATGCTTTTTCAGCATCTGTGGAGATGATCATGTGGTTTTTGTCCTTTTTGTTTATGTGGTGGATGATGTTGATGGATTTTCGAATGTTGTACCATCCTTGCATCCCTAGGATGAATCGCACTTGGTCATGGTGTATGATCCTTTTGATATACTTTTGAATTCAGTTTGCTAATATTTTGTTGAGTATTTTTGCATCTATGTTCATCAGGGATATTGGTCTGTAATTTTCTTTTTTGGTGGGGTGTTTGCCTGGTTTTGGTATTGGGGTGATGTTGGCTTCATAGAATGAGTTTGGGAGTATTCCCTCCTCTTCTATTTTTTGGAAAACTTTAAGGAGATGGGTATTATGTCTTCTCCGTATGTCTGATAAAATTCCAAGTTAAATCCATGGTTTTGTTCTTGGGTAGTTTTTTGATTACCGCTTCAATTTCTTTGCTTGTAATTGGTTTGTTTAAATTTTGTGTTTCTTCCTTAGTCGGTCTTGGAAGGTTGTGTTTTTCTAGGAAGTTGTCCATTTCTTCTAGGTTTTCCAGCTTGTTAACATATAGGTTTTCATAGTAGTCTCTAATAATTCTTTGCATTTCTGTGGAGTCTGTCGTGATATTTCCTTTCTTATTTCTGATTCTGTTGCTGTGTGTTGATTCTCTTTTTCTCTTAATAAGTTTGGCTAGAGGCTTATCTATTTTGTTTATTTTCTCAAAGAACCAGCTTTTGGTTTCTTTGATTTTTTCTATTGTTTTAGTCTTCTCAATTTTGTTTATTTCTTCTCTGATCTTTATTATGTCTCTCCTTCTGCTGACGTTAGGCCTCATTTGTTCTTCTTTTTCCAATTTCGAAAATTGTGACGTTAGACTATTCATTTGGGATTGTTCTTCTTTAAGTATGCCTGGATTGCTATATACTTTCCTCTTAAGACTGTTTTCACTGCATCCCACATAAGTTGGGGCTTTGTGTTATTGTTGTCATTTGTTTCCGTATATTCCTTGATCTCTATTTTAATTCGTTTGTTGATTCATTGATTATTTAGATGCATGTTGTTAAGCCTCCATGTGTTTGTGAGCCTTTCTGCTTTCTTTGCACAATTTACTTCTAGTTTTATACTTTTGTGTTCTAAGAAGTTGTTTGGTAGAATTTTCAATATTTCGGAATTTACTGAGGCTCTTTTTGTATGTGGTCTATTCTGGAGAATGTTCCATGTGCACTTGAGAAGAATGTGTATTCTGTTGCTTTTGGATATAGAGTTCTATAGATGTGTATTAGGTCCATCTGTTGTAGTGTGTTGTTCAGTGCCTCCATGTCCTTACTCATTTTCTGTCCAGTGCATCTGTCCTTTGGAGTGATGTGTTGAAGTCTCCTAAAATGAATGCATTGCAGTCTATTTCCTCCTTTAGTTCTGTTAGTATTTGTTTCACATATGCTGGTGCTCCTGTGTTGGGTGTATATATATTTATAATGGTTATATCCTCTTGTTGGACTGAGCCCTTTATCATTATGTAATGTCCTTCTTTATCTCTTGTTACTTTCTTTGTTTTGAAGTCTATTTTGTCTGATACCAGCACTGCAACTCCTGCTTTTTTCTCCCTGTTGTTTGCATGAAGTATCTTTTTCCATCCCTTGACTTTAAGTCTGTGCATGTCTTTGGGTTTGAGGTGAGTTTCTTGTAAGCAGCATATAGATGGGTCTTGTTTTTTTATCCATTCAGTGAGTCTATGTCTTTTGATTGGTGCATTCAGTCCATTTACATTTAGGGTGATTATTGAAAGATATGTACTAATTGCCATTGGAGTCTTCAGATTCGTGGTCACCAAAGGTTCAAGGTTAGCTTCTTTAGTATCTTACTGTCTAACTTAACTTGCTTATTAAGCTGTTATAAACACTCTCTGGAGATTCTTTTCTTCTCTCCCTTCTTATTCCTCCTCCTCCATTCTTTATATGTTGGTTGTTTTATTCTGTGCTCTTTTGTGTTTCCTTTAACTGCTTTTGTGGGTAGTTGATTTTATTTTTTGACTTTAGTTAGTATTTTGTTGGTCTGCTTTCTTTGCTGTGATTTTATTTTCTCTGGTGACATCTATTTATTCTTAGGAGTTCTCCCATCTGGAGCAGTCCCTCTAAAATACCCTGTAGAGGTGGTTTGTGGGAGGCAAATGCCCTCAACTTTTGCTTGTCTGGGAATTGTTTAATCCCTCCTTCATATTTAAATGATGTTCGTGCTGGATGCAGTATTCTTCGTTCAAGGCCCTTCTGTTTCATTGCATTAAATATATCATGCCATTTTCTTCTGGCCTGTAATGTTTCTGATGATAGCCGGATGGGTTTTCCTTTGTAGGTGACCTTATTCCTCTCTCTAGCTGCCTTTAAAACTCTGTCCTTGTCCTTGCTCTTTGCCATTTTAATTATTATGTGTCTTGTTATTGTCCTCTTTGGGTCCCTTCTGTTGGGAGTTCTGTGTACCTCCGTAGTCTGATCGATTATTTCCTCCCCCAGTTTGGGGAAGTTTTCAGCAATTATTTCTTCAAAGACATTTTCTATCCCTTTTTCTCTTCTTCTTCTGGTACCCGTATCATGCGGATATTGTTCCTCTTGGATTGGTCACACAATTCTCTTAATATTGTTTCTTTTCTGGAGATCCTTTTATCTCTCTCTGCATCAGCTTCTATGCGTTCCTGTTCTCTGGTTTCTATTCCATCAATGGCCTATTGCGTCTTATCCATTCTGCTTATAAATCCTTCCAGAGATTGTTTCATTTCTGTAATCTCCCTCCGGACATCATCCCTTAGCTCTTGCATATTCCTCTGCAGCTCCGTCAGCATGGTTATGACCTTTATTTTGAATTCTTTTTCAGGAAGATTGGTTAGGCCTATCTCCTTCTCAGGGGTTGAGTCTGATTTTGGTCTGTATCAAATTCTTCTGCCTTTCCATGGCGATAAAGGTAGTTGTGCGCAGTTGGTGTGTGTGTCGGCTGGGAGAACATCCCTTCTTGCTGGTTTGTGGCTTTCCTCTCCTGGGAGAACAGCGACCTCTAGCGGCTTGTGCTGGGCAGCTGCGTGCAGACAGGCCCTCTGATTCTTTCCTGGCCACTGTGGAGTTAAGCTCCGCAGTTGCTGTGGAGTTAAGCTCCGTGGTTGCTGCAGGAGTGGCTGGCCTCAGTCTGCTGATCCAATATGGTGGAGCCATGTCAGATGGGAAACAGGTGGGAGCTGTTTATCGCTGTGAGGGGCTTCCGAGCCACGCTGCTGCCCAGGGGGATAGAGTGCCCAGAATTCCCTGGGATTCCCAGCTGCTAGATTAAGTGTCCCAGGATGCTTCTGTCCAGCTGTGGGGTCCCTGTTCCTTTAATATTTTCGAAGAGCACTCACTTTTCTTTGTCCCAGAGGCACTGGCTGCAGGGACCCACTCACAGATCTTACTGTCCTGTTTCCCTAGTATCCAGCACACCACACACTGTGTATGTGTGCTCCAGTGTGGATGGCTAGGGCTGGCTATTTAGCAGTCCTGGGCTCCTCTTCCTCCCCGCTCTGACTCCTCTTCTCCCACTGGGAACTGGGGTGAGGGGCGCTCGGTTCCTGCCGGACCGCGGCTTATATCTTACCCCCTTCGCGAGGTGCTGGGTTCTTGCAGGTGTGCTGTAGTCTGGCTGTTGTCCTGTGTCTTCTGGTCTCTCTTTTAGGAATAGTTGTATTTGTTGTATTTTCAAAAATATGTATGGTTTTGGGAGGAGATTTCTGCTGCTCTACTCACGCCGCCATCTTTGCTCCACCCCCGATTCTAAAGTTTTTAAAAAGGAGAATCAAGTTGGAGGCCTCAAGATAAAAGTCATTAAGTTTATAAAGACAGTGTGGTAATGGCCTAAAGATACACAGATACATTAATGGAATAGAATAGAGCCCACAAATAGACCTAGATTTTTTCAAAATAAAAGTACCAAAGCAATTCAGTAGGGAAAGTCTTCAAGAACTGGTGCTAGAACAATTGTGGGTACTTTGGATAGTAAAAAAATAAAAAAATAAAAATTAACGTACTACCTGACACCGTATACAAAAATGTTAATTGGAGGTGGATCAGAGACCTAAACATAAAAGCTAAATCCCTGATGCTAACATAGAATAGAAGAAAGCATAGGGAGATCATTTGTTTTTCTTTTTTTTTTGGGAGATGCCACAATTTCTTCCACAGGACACCCAAAACACCAGAAAAAAAAATGTGATAAATTTGACTGTCAAAATTAGAAGTCTTTGCTCATCGAAATAAACCATTAAGAAAATGAATGGGCAAATCATAGACTATGACAAAATATTCTCAAAATATTGTTAAATATCTTGTAGGTATTTAACATAAATGAACATGAATATTTACACAGGCTTGTATTCGGATGTTTATAGCAGCATTTTTCATAATAGTAAAAAAAAGTGGAAAATAACCCAAATGTCCATTAACAGTAGAAAGGAGAAAAGTTATGTATTCACGCAGTAGAATGATAGCAATAAAACAGAACTAATAATAGACACTATGGACAAGCCTCAAAAACATAGTTGAGCAAGAAAATTTTCCCCATACACAAGAGAATACATCCTGGATGATTCCATTTATACGAAGTTCACAAACAGAGGGAACTCTGTCTTGTGGTAGAAATCAGAACAGTGGTTGACTGTGGGTGTGAGGATTAACTGGAAAAGGGTAATTAATATAAGTTCCAGAATTTTATCTGCTTTCTGATAATTTTAATAGCTTACCAGCACCCCACTGTAGAAATGAGATCATCCCATTTTGTAGTATAGGTTAATTATTAGTTTAAACTGAATCTTTATTTCCTTATTACTGTAAATAATCACGAATTAACTGTTCTAAGGTTGTTCACCATGCATTGTTTTGTGTTGTGCATTGTTTTTTAATAGTAACAGACTGAAAATGGCCTGAATTTCCCACTAATAAGACACTAATTTATTTAGTTACAGCATAGTCGCTGAATTACTACCTAGCTGTAAAATAGTGAAAAGGGACTTTATGTATTGATATGAATGTCTCTGAGATGTATTTATGATGTGTAAAAAGCAGTATACAAAATTGTGTATGCATGTGTTTTTAAATGTGTGTATAGATGTACACACATGTATATGCATAGAATATATCTTTAAGAACATACACAAAAAAATGTCAAGTTGCCTCTGAGAAGGCAATTGCGTAGCTGGTAATCAGATAAAGAAGAGGGACTGTCCATTGTATATACTTTTTATACCTTTTGAATTTTCTATCATATGAATGCAATACTATACAGAATATAAATTTTAAAATACCTGCACTAAAAAGCGCAGGTGAGAGATCAGAGACCCGTGAAACTCATAGTCACAGGGGGCAGCACTGAGCAGAGAGGTCCAAAATCCTGGTAACATTTGAATAAGGGAACTTGATGTCCTGTTTGACTTATGACAGTCTAAGACTGTCATAGAAGTACCTGGCCTCTGTTCCTAAGATTTTATTACTATTTATATTCAGTAGCCCAGGGTTTGGACATGAACATTTTGTGTTAAAAACTATAGGTGACTCCTTACTTAACTAGCCAGCTGTGGTACCCACTGGCCTAAAACAGGATGTGTCCTCACAAGCTTCTGTTCATTCTGTTTTAATCTTTCTTGGTTGTTACAGAGTGCTGTGTTTGAGTTTATGTTCATTCATTCAGAAAACTGATAGCCTTTTTAATATATGAGGTTTTTAACATATTTAGATGATGATAGCAATGTCAACCTACTTTTAGGGTTGCAGGCAGTTGATTTTGTTTTTCTTTAATGAGTATCCTGTGGGAGGGAGTCACCTGGTTTTCATGTACACATGATTAATTTTCCCTTTAAATTAATTTAGTGTTTTCTCTTTCCTACAGATTTCAGAATTGATATTCCCACCTCTTCCCATGTGGCATCCTTTGCCCAGGAAAAAGCCAGGAATGTACCAAGGGAATAGCCATCAGAGTCACTACCCTCCTCCTGTTCCATTTGGTTATCCAAATCCGGGAAGGAAGAATAAATCATATCGCCCAATTCCAGTAACATGGGTACCTCCTCCTGGAATGCATAGTAACCGGAACCACTGGATTAATCCTCATATGTTAGCACCTCACTAGCTGCTTTTGATTCTGTTGGTGTCTTGTTGAGAGAAGGTAGGGTAAGCCTGACTACATATTAAAAGTTAAAAGTTCATACTTTACTATAGTAAAGTTAGATGGGCTAAACCATCAATCTTATTTTTATAGAAAAGTTATTGAGAATAATCTTTCTTAAAAAATATATATGCACTTTAGATATATTGATATAGTTTGAGAAACTTTATTAAAGTTAGTCAAGTGCCTGAGTTTTTAATATTGGACTTGAGTATTTATATATTGTGGATATGAGAACACTGTAGGAGCAGATGATCTGTTCTAGCACCTTTGAGCATTTACTTTATGGAGAGTATGTAAGTTATTTATACACAAGGAAATCTATTTTATGTCATTGTTATTTAGAAGAATTGTGTGAAATCATATAGTTGAAAATAAATAGTTTGAGGCATGACAATGTGTGCTTGTGTTTTGTACATAAAAAAAGAAAACAAAGGGGATATTTTACTTCAGTGTGTTTAAATATTTAGCAAAGAAAACAATGTAAGAATTTTTCTTTAAAAAAATCAACTTTTTTATTAACCATATATCTTTTCCAAAGGTTACAGTATCAAAATATGCATATAAAAAGACTGAAATTTGTTAGTAGTAGCAAATTGAAAATAGAAATATAATGAAACATCTTTTAACCATCAAAATCATTTATTCAGAGAATTTTCCTAGCCAAATAATTTGGCCTAATTTTGATATGACATCTGTTATGTTCAATACCATTGCATAAAGCAGAAATATCCTTACAGCCACTCTTATCTCTGTGCCTTGTGTTTTCAACACATTAAAGTGTTTATACCTCTTCACTAGAAGTGTAAAATAAAGCCAAATAGTACAGTACTTCAGGTTCTTCAGCAGTCCTTCATATTTATACCACTGTAATGCCATCAGTCTTGTAAATATACTTCAACTATAAAAAGAAAAAGATGTAAGAATTTGGATTTTTTTCAAAGGTAAATTTTTTAAAACTAACATCAGTACTTTTCCCCATCACACCCACATCTTAAATACCTAGCTTTGAATTATTTGACTTAACAGAATTCCCAGTAAAAGTTCTATTGACGTATAGAATACCAGAAAAATGAACAAATCTTAAGGATATATAGCTCAAACAAAGGTTTGAAAGTATGTGGAATTTAAAGTGTTTGGAACTTTAGCAAGTTTTTTAAAGCCTGAAGAGACTTTTCTAGTTTTAATGTTACCTTTGATAAACCATATACAACTTTTCATGTATGTCTAAACCATATTACTTTTTTTCCTGAAATAATAGTGAATTCAAACATGAGCATATTTCCTAGGCTAACCTGGCATCACAAAGGAGATTAGTTTTATTTAAGGTTGAGAATACTTTTTAACTGTTAGCTATTTCCTTAGGGGTCCTAGAGAGTTTTGTGTGATAATGGCAGATTTATGGACAATTGTAAAAGTGTCAAGTCTCAAATATTTTTGCTGTGGAGTTAGCAGATAGCATTTGTTCTGTCAGTTTGCTTGTGTCATAGTTATAAGCTTGTTGGGAAAATTAGAAGCATAACAGCCACACTGTCAGAAAGAAAATATTTTTGGCACAAACCTAGTAACCAGACCTTTCTCTCCATATTAGATTATTATAAAATCTACATCTCTTATTAGTGCTGACAACTAAGTGGCAGCCTGCCTTGGTCATTTTGCATTTGACTGCATACTAGACTGACTATTAGAAGATTCTGCTCTTCATTGACTACCCAAACAACCCCCACCTTGTTCCAAATTTTATTTAAAGTAAAAGAAAGCACTCAATATAGCTTTTCCAATCCATTCCTAATGAAATAAAACCATCTGTCTCGGCAGCTGAGTCTTAAATTCAGTTTAATAAGCATGCGACACAAAAGTTCAGCAGACTTTTAAAATGCTAATTAGGACTCTAGGGCTTGTAACATCTCCTAGTCTATGTCCTTTAGATAACTCCAGGTCTGCTCTAATGAAAACAAAACATGGCTGGATAAGTTGAGCTAGCAGTTGCAATCAAGCTGTTTAAAGCAGGCATAGTCTGTGACTCAATGATGATAATAGGTTTTAATTCTCCATTTTATATTTGTAGGCATAACTGCACAGCTCTAAATTTAGAGATCAAACTCAGACATGGTCATTTTTTAAATGAAAAATATGAATTGGTAAGTTATATTACATCAGTACTAAAGAAATACTATATTATTTCTATTTTTTTAGTTTAGTATTTATCTCAGCATATAATTTTTTTAGCAAACCTCTATGATTTCACACTAAGCATTTATATTGACTTCTATTCAGCTATCACTATTAGTGATTTCTTATTTGATGATTAGGAAGAGAAAAAAACCTTATAAACACCTTTCATGTGTATTTACCTTGCCAGAGTAGCCATCCTATCCATTTTACAAGTAACAAAATATTCTTAACATTTTTATTACTGTGTGCCAACAATGTGTTTAATCCTTAAAATAACCCCACAAGGTAGTTATCATTATTATTCCAGTGTGGTTAAGGACTCAGAGGAGTTAAAAATGCTAAAGATCACAGAAAACTAAAAAATGAAGTCCTGCCTTAAAACCAAACTGAAGCCCATGCTCCATGGTGCTTGATCCAGCTCATTACCTGTAAAATCTACCAAATCTTGAAACTTATGAGGTTCAGTATCAAGCCAAGAGAGGAGAAAAAGAATGGATGCAAATACTAGATTAAGCAAGTGAGAATATAAGACACTATATATTGATTATCAACTAGTATAGTCTTGAAGTTCCCTTTTACAGATTTCTGAAAAGTGTGTGACTAAATCATTTTATTTGCTAGAACTATAAAATTGCAAAAAGCAAACTAATGATTGGTCAAGGGTAAAATAAAGATCACAGAGAATTAGTGATATTAGTAAGGTCCAAGTTTACACAGGCTTTTTTTCTTAGTTATAAAATATTTGGTGATGTAACATGGTATACAATGTTCTCATATTCTCTGGAGTTTGTATTCCAGTTGTGAGGCAGTAACACTGGGGATCTGAGGGGGAAATAATATCCCTATATTATAGATGGAGCTTTATGGCATAGAATCATACTGGGAAATTATCACATAAACACTAGTTACAAAGGAGTCTCATGCAATTCCTGTTTGAAATGTGCACACTCTATACACTGCAGAAAGCATTTCCTGTCTCCCAATTTAATGGCATTTTCACATCATTTAAAGGATAATGGAAGGAATGAAACAGAGACACATCTAACTTACCAAAGCAAATTCACCAGCACAAACAAAAGTATGGAATTTTATTGTTTCTACAGAATAGCTTGCTACAGAAACAATTTCTGTAAATTACAAGCATAATCATAGGAACCTTGCTTGATTTCATAGGACTTGAACATACCAAGATATAGCTTGGCTCAAAATCTGTACATTATATGTATAAAATCTATAGGGAACACAGGTGGCAACCATTTCTATCCAGGCTAGAGGTTTAATGGATAGCTTCTGTATATAATTTTAGTGTCATAACTGCAAATGTATGAACTTAACTGGTAATTAAAGCAGATTTATTTTGACAATCATAAGATTAAAATTGCCCAGTATTGGTGAGAGTATGTGGAGAAGCAGTCACATACTGTTAATACAGGCTTAAATAAGTACAAACTTTTTGAAGGGCAGTTTAAAATATAAATGTGCATATCCTTTGACCAAACAACTGTAGTTCTAGAAATTTGTCTATGTAAATGAACAAGGGGGTTATTATCCATGTAAAATTGTTCATTGCAGAGTTGTGAATGGCAAAAGTAAAAATCCAAGTAGCTAGCTACCAATGAATGAACAGTTAGAATTTGAACATCTATTCATGAAAATACTGTGGAAAATACTGTGTAGCCATGCACACAGAAAATGTTTATCAACTTGTAATGACATGGACTAACATGTAAGTTGGTGAAATACTCCAAGTGGGGAAGAAAAATGTTGTCTAGGATGGTGCCAAATACTGTCTGGAAAAACAAATAACCCAATTGTTAATAATAGTGTTCTCATAGGGGAAAGGGGGCAGATACAGAGAACTTCATTTTCTACATTGTACATTTCCTTCTTTAGATTTTTAAACTGAGCATTATTACTTTGTAACTGGAGGGATAAAAAGACAAACTTTTTTTTTAAAGCACTTTAAGACAAGTTCAGACTAATTTTTAGCAAATAGAATACTGTACTTGTACTTAGCCATTAATAAACATTGCATATATGTTTCACAGGCAATCCATTACATTTATGAATTAAGGAATTGCACTGTGGTTACATTTTATTTGCTGATCAAACTGTCTAGAAATAAATATTCCAAAATAATAAATACTTGTAATAGAGTAGTAGTATTACATACTCTCTAGTGTTTCCAATTAAATATATTAATTCCACGAGAAAAATTTAGTACTTTATGGGAGAAAGTCCCTATTATTAAGAAAGAATGTTAAATACCTGGAAATTTTAACAGTAGAAAGGAGTGAGTCCTATACAAGAGATTAAATTGTAAAAATTTGCTACAATACAAAAATAATTAGAAAAATATACCATATATCTAAATTATTCTAAAAGCTTTACTTCTCAAATTATGTAAAGTCAACATAAATCATAATTAAAATCCCAATGACATTTTAATGGAACTTGAAACCCTGATTTTAAGCTTACATGGAAGAATAATTTTTAAGAATAACCAAGAATTTTCTTAATGTGCAGGGAGTGTTCTTTTATGAGATTTATCAATATACAAAGTGTTAGCACAGGAATGAACTAATACACCAATGAAACAATTACAAGTGAAGAGACAAGTTAAATGTATGTAGACTATGACTTATCAAATTGAAAATAATTCACTAATAAAAAATAAATAGTGAACTATTTGGCTATGCCTTTTTTAAAGTTAAATGCCTATTTCAAGTCATAAAAATATATCCCAGACAGATTAAAGATAAAATGTAAATTGTGAAACTATAAAAAGTACTAAAAGGAAACATGGAAAGAGATATTTACAAACTTTAGCTTAGGAAAATTTTCCCCACAATGACATGAAGATTGGTGGTTTGGAATTGAAAAAAAGTTTAAATTGCATATTCAAAGACAAAGTTAAAAGGGAGAAAACCACTAAATGTTTAGAAGAAATGTATCTTAATATACAAAAAACTTCTATATGTTATTATTTAGCAGATCCAAATACAGAGAAACAAATGGCTAAAAACAAAAGATGTGCTAATGGCACACTAATGATGGGGGAACTCTAAGTGGAAGCCATGAAGTGCCATTTTTCACCTAACAAATTGACACATTGAAAAGATGTGGTTTGCATTCTTGGTGGAAGGTGACTTGACAATGTCAGAAAAACTTCTAATGTGTAGTAAACGAGTAATGCAAATTCTATAAATCTAGAAAATAACCTATGGAAATATGTTTGCA